AGGATCCTAAAATTTTTGGATCCTCAAACTTTACTTAGAATTTTTCAAGAATAAGGATAGATGAAACCTGGTGATCTTAGGAAAAGTTTGAATTTGTGAACTCCTTGTCTTCGTATGAACTTGATGCTTGAAGGGATCTTTATTTTAGAAGCTCGTTCGGAAGGATCTTCACTTATTTTGTCAAATTTCAGGAAGGATCCTTAACTTTAGCTTGAGGAAAGTCTTTGCTATGAATCTTTTTTGAGTTATTGGGAAAAATTCCAAACCGTATGATATCATGAAAATGTTATAAACTTTATATATTTTCTGGGGAAAATCCCAACATGTTATAAACCATAGGAGTTTTCTAGGGATGATCCCAACTTAAGATAACATGTAAATGTTATAGAGCTTAGGAATATTCTAGGGAAGATCCCAACTTGAGATAACATGTAAATGTTATTAACCTTAGGTATATTTTGGGGAAGATCCTAACTTGAGATAACATGTAAATGTTATTAACCTTAGGTTCAAACTTCGGGATCTTAACTTATGTTCAGAAACAAGAGGGTTGCCAAGTCACTGAAGCGTGAAATGATCCCATTATTCTCATTCCATAGTTAGATATCGTGCATCCAAGCGATGTGTATAAACCTTAACTCGTGTGAAAGAGGTAATTAACTCTTTAAACCTTAGAGGGGATTAAGTACCCTTATTCGTAGGAGAGATGACCAGTCTCTATTCTTAGGAGATTCATATAGTGAATTATCGGATGTTTTTAGTTAAGGGGCTCTTAGTGGTCCCTTGGCACCTGGATCCTTGAAAGTTCGTATGTTCAAGATTCTTGGAAGTCAGGATCCTTAAGTGTTAGGATCCTTAAGCACCCGGATCCTTGAATGTCAGAATCCTTAAATGTTAGGATCCTTAGAGGTCAAGATCCTGGAACGTCGGGATGCTTTAGTCTCTGCATGTAATAAACGTTAGCTAAGGGTGGGCGTTAGCCTAACTAACTCCCCTCTGATGCTTAAGTTAGTAATGCTATTTGAAGAAAATAAATAATGAAAAATGGAGGATAAAGGATAAAAAAGCATGCATACCTTGAGTGTATCAAGAAACAACTGACCTTACTTATATAATATAATATTTGAGATGTATCACATTCCAGGATCTTGGCAATATATCTCCATCTAAGGTGGCGAACCAATATGCCCCCTTACCTGCTTCAGCATCTATAAGGTATGATCCTTCCCATTTAGGAGCTAGTTTACTTGCACTAGGATCCTTGGTATTTTGGAAAGTTTTTCTTAGTACCAAGTCTCCTACTTGGAATCTCATGATCCTTATGTTTTTATTATATGCTCTGGTAATCCTTTGTTGATGAGCAGCAATACGGATCTTGGCAAGATCCCTAAGTTCATCTATGGTGTCGAGATCCTGGGCCAGGATCCTATTGTTGTCCTCTTGGTTTTGGAGTAGGTATCTTGTTGTGGGGATCACCACTTCACTGGGGATCATTGCTTCTGTGCCAAATTAGAAATCTGAATCACAAGAAAAAACCACGGGCGGAGGAAGCCGAGAACCAATCCACTAAAATATTTCAGAATTTACAAAGTTTGATCAAATAGATTATAATGAGCTAAAATGGTGATTTGGTGATTAAGGGATGAAACCCTAGAAAGGAAGCTCTAAAAGGGGGAGAAGAAGAACTCTCTCAATTAATTTTATGATCTATCTCTTCCAGGAAACTTGCATTCACTTTAAGCTACAAAGAAATAAAGCTTTGCCAAAAATTTCAAATTTGGCTTTTCAATAATGGAGCAATTGCATTTCAGGAACAAGTCTTTTTTAGACCTGAAACACTCATTTTAGACATGGTGTCCTTTTTAAACCTGATACACCCATTTTAGATCCGGTGTCCTTTTTAGACCCAAAACGACCAAATTAGACATGTATTGCTGGAAAGACAATCTGCCCTTAAACTAAGCAGAACTTATCAGTTTTGGAAGGCGTATTTCCACAAGAAGAAAAGCGAGAATCATCACTTTTGGTATTATGGAATGTAATGACTAAGGAATGAAATAGATAACATAATGAAATATGCAAGATAATAAAATAGACCATTACATTCTATTGTCATATTTGGTTGGATCAAAATGATGAAATTTCATTCAAACATGCTATTTTTTATCAATAAATATAAACCTAAGTAATGTAAAGTTGATAAATAAAGAAAACAATATTATTTTATAATAATAATAATTGATTAACGAAAGGTGTACGGTTATACAAATTGCATATAAATAAATTTTATTTAGTTTAAAATACATACTTACAAGTAGTTTAAAAATAACTATCTATGATCTAAAAAAATATTAGAAAAGGACTAGATGCAATGAAAATTTGAAATACAATTATAAATAAAAAACTGTTACCTTCCTACCAAAAATTTATTTCTTATTTATTTGTTCGCGAAATGCAATGAAAATCATCTAATGATTCATTTTGTTTGTTCGCGAAAAAAATATGTAGAAAAAAAACTTCTTACCTTCCTACCAAAAATTTCCTTTTTATTTGATCTTGACTATATATATATATATATATATATATATATATATATATATATATATATATATATATATATATATATATATATATATATATATTGAAGTTTAATTTTTTTTTTAAGATTAATATTATTGAAAACGATATGAATAAAAATAATTTATAACTATAACTGTATATCGTTCCATTCCAAGAAAGAAAGAAAAAAAACACACATCTTCCATGAAATGCAAATCATCCATGAAGGAATCACATTCTGTGATAAATACTTCATTTCATTTCTTATGCCAACCAAACAAGATTTTTGTTATTCCACCTTAATGATCCATTCCATGACCAGGTCAGATTAATGCATACCAAACACTACCTAAGTTTTGTTGTTCAAATCACTAGATCGTCACACTTGAGATAGATATCCGTGTGTAATTAAGTTTTTTTCTTCTAAAAGGTCAATAACATGTTTATGATGTCATTTGAGTCGATTATGATAATTAGAATCAATTTAGATGATTTTTTAGGTTAAATGAAACTTAAAGGCTAATTTGGAAGTTTGACGACTTCCATCAAACTCATTCAAACTTTGAAATAATGAGACTCTTAACGAAATAATATGTAGTTGAGTTGTAAAATTAGTTACTAGAACTTATTTCATCCTTTAAAGTCAATATGAGGGCTTATAGAATGTTTGTGAGCGGATACACCAAAGTATATTACCCAATTGAGCAAAAACTCACACATTGGCATGGCTTGTGTCACACGAGTCATCTGTATGCCAATGCATATTTCACACGGGCCATGTGTCGTTTTTGCCCATGTCAAAATTTTAACTAAGCCCAATTTAACCCAAATCACCATCATAGATTCCTTAGTACCTCATTAATGTTACTTAATGATTAAAATGAATTAAGTTAACTTATAAAGTAGGTTTTTGGACTTGATTTATATTATAAGTACTTAATAAATGGCTTGATTTTGGTTGTTTGTTCATCTTTAAAGGAGAGATTCTTTGGTGGATTTGGAGGAACAAAGATTCATTATGCATGTTGCATACTTCTTAGTGATGTTTGGGTTGTGTTTGATTTGGATGGTAGTGGATTATACTTGACATGTGTAATTCATAATTGTTGGTGTTTGTTACTCAGGTCTAGTTCTAGAACAAAAACATGTCTACATCTTGGAAATCTTTTCTATTTGCTTTGTAGGTTGAAAAGGTTTGCAATCACTGAAGAAGGTTCATCTGGGGTGATTCTTAAGAATAGTTTGGAGATCATCCATTTGGGTCGAAATACATTTGAGGGAGAGATGTTTCGTTGTGTATTCGGGTTTGGTTTGAGATTTGATCAATTTCGTTTCATAAGGTATGTCATTTGTTTGGCTTCGGCCATTTTGGAACATAGTGCAAGTTGTTTTTCCGGTGATGGCCATGTCGAAGCTCATGGTAACATTTATGGTATTTGAGTTTTGGACATATACTTTTTCGACTTTTAGGGGTTAGTTTTGGATTTATTGATTCTTTTGGGTTGTGGGTATGTTTGTATTGTTTATAGTTTATGATAAACTTCGTTATCTTTACACAACCATTTGAGTGTTTCCAGAAATTTGGGTTTTTTGTTTCGAAGTTGTGTGTGCAATGATATCAAGGTGGAGTGTTGTTTCTGGGAGATACACAATGCTTCGTATAAACCGTTCAAAATTTTGGGAAAGCAATGAAAGAATTTCCGGCAGCTCAAGTTTGCCACCCTAACCAACTGTCGGCTACTTCAAGTAACCATAATTTGAGTTTTGTGGATTAGGCTAGATTCGCCACATGGTTGCCACTTGAAGTGACGATTTTTTTACTAAAAATGGCCATTTGGTATGACCACATGAAGTAGCGACCGAATAGCCATTTTCTTCTGATGAGTTTTCTTCTTTAGATACAAAAATTTAGTCATTTTATAGCTAGTTTTTCTCTCTTCATTTGGTTATTTGTAAGTGATTTATAACCCCTGTTTCATTATTGATTAATAATATAAGGTGTTTGTTTCTCCACATAGATGTACATAATCACCCTGATTGTAAAACCATGTTAAATGTTTGTGTCTAGTAAGTTTATTTGCTTGCTATTTACATTTGCTTAATCTTGTTATGTTTTGTTCTCACTTTTAAACATTGTTATCGTGTTTCTGCATTCTAATTATCCGTTTCGTTGTTGGGTTTTAAACTTGTTTATGAGACCGGATGTTTGATATCTCTTTGGTATATGTTTGGATTGCAAAGGTAATTGTATGGATCCCCAACAAAAGAGCATCATTTTCTGTTCTATGAGTAATGGAGCAAGACCCCAATAACGTTGTTACCAAATTAATTGGAATTAAAAGAGCAAATGTTATAAGTAAACTAGTTAATTTCGGGATTCGATTGATAATTGTTACACCACAACCACATAACGATGTAAGAACATCAAACACCATGCTTTCTAACCTCAATATTATAATTCAAATAAGAATGCATTATATCTATACAAAACAATGTGAAAGGGTCTCAAACATAAATCAAACTGAGAAACATAGCAAGCAAATCAAAAGAATGAACTCATCGGGTAGTCCTGAAAAAAACTACACCAGCAAAGAATCAAAAGAATAGATATGGTAAAAAAGGGTACCATTTATTTTTCAAAGACTTGAATGTCTAAAAGAGATCAACTTTCTTCTTAACCTGATCTTGCTTCCATCTTGGTAACTGATAGAATGCCTGTTTTGACATCTTAAATATTTCCTCAAATTCTTCCGGGGAGAGATACATCTGAAACATCATACCCAACAACAAATATCAGATCATCATTTAAATAATAGTTTTCTTAAAACCATATCTACATCCAACATTACCTCTCTCTTCTTGTAATCAATCCCAATAACAGGGTTGGTTGATTTTGCTATGAGTTGTTCATAACTATATGTACTTTGAATGTCTTCACCACCATTTTCATTCTCATCTGTTGTTTCTTTATTTGAAGGTTCCTCTTCATTGGTCTCTGCATTCGGCTCAGATGTCTCATCTGCAACCTCGTTATTGCCAAAAACATCAGAGGCTTCTTCACCCTTCACTGGAGTTACATTTTCACTCCTCACTGGAGTTACATTCCCACTTCTCACAGGAGTTACATTTCCACTCCTGAATGGAGCTGTATAGAAGCATGGATTCTTTGTCACGTTATATTTTATAGGAAAATGTTAAATATAATAATATATATGATTAGTGATTAGTGATTACCTTGGTCAAAATTAACAGGTGAGGTAGAGGAAGAGACAGGGGCAGAGGCAGATTCTAATGATGAAAGTTTTCTGTGCCTATGAGGAGGGGAATGGTGGTCAGATGGTGGTCCCTTCTTTTCAGCAGTGAGGACGTTGGATAAGGCGGCTATTGCCGCCGCTCTCTGGGACCCACGAGCTAGCATTCTTGGAGGTGGTCCATGTTGAGGAGTTTTAGGAGCAGTAGATGATTTTGAAAAAGCAGAGGTTAAAGCTGCCATGGCTGATGCTCTTTGGGTCGCCCCACTAAGTTTATTTCCCGGGGGCTTAACATCTTGGCTCTGTTGTAATTAAATAATATGATAGGGGCCACTTTAAAAAAAAAAAAAAAAAAAAAAAAAAAAAAAAAAACTTTTTATACAAGAAATACCTCTGCTACACAGCCTGAGCCGAAGAGTTGCACAGCCTTCTTGTGGAATGCGTTTCCGTGAACCTGGTTCCATTGAGAAAGAGAAAAATGAGATACAAATTAATTATTAATTATTAATTATTAATACATGATATATATATATACATACAGTAGTTTTTGCAGGATCCCATGAGAAATATGTTGTGAAGAAGCAAGGTTCGTTTCCCTCTGTTACTCTGTATAATACAACATGTGGGGACAAGGAATCCATAGATGCAGCCAACTCTACATATTTCTGAAATCAACTTATTAAAAAAACATATCAACCAATAAAAACGTATAATTTTTGGATTTGTATAACTATTATTATTATTATTATTATATGTACCTCGCCAGTTTCAAAAGCGTTTTGTTTTTCCATTGACTGTGATAAATGACCAACCCAAACGATGACCTCAGCATGTGTATCTAATATCAAGACATCCTCTGGAAACAAGTCATCTTGTTCAAAATTGTGAACTTCTTCAATCTCTAACTTCCCTACAGAGGAAAATAAGATGATAAAACCAGTTAGTTGGTGGATATAATCAGCAAAAATGAATGAATTAATAATGGACATGTGAAAGATAGATGGTTTATGGTTTTGAAACCTTTATTGCTTATTACTTCAAACAAGTGAGGTTCACGGATGATTTCCTGTGTTACTTTGCTACTTGAGTAGCTTTGTTTTCCACCAAGTGCAAGCCAGAAAGCTAAGCTCTCTTTTCCTTCTCTAGAGAATTTTACAGGCACTCCAGACTAAAGATATAAGAAAAAAATAAAGGAGTTGAATAAACTATCAAGGATTGGAAAGGGGTATAAAAGTAAATAAAGATGAAAGATAGATAATTTAAAAACATACCTTCAAAAGTTCAACAACTTTTGCTGCTAATTGCTGCTGTTCAGGTGTACTCTGGTTTCCATACCAGGTAGAAACTGTTGTGCTGGATTGTAGGATAAAGCAGCTATAGGAATTTAAAGATGTTGCAACCTGAATGAGATTATGTATGCACATTGTCAAGTCTTAGTTGAACTAAATCCCTTCAACAATCACATGATACATGAAAATAATAGAAAGTGGATCATATTCCTAGAGAATACCCTCTCTACTTGTTGAGCTTTATTATTATGCACTGAAGTTCCTGATATTTCAATGAGTGCAGCTGTGTCTGGACTGTAGGTCTCATCATGCAGTCCTTTCTCTGCAATGTAGTTTTTATAACCAGAGCTCAATCCACCCTAGTAAAAAGTAAAACCAAATATTTACCATTGTTAACACCCTTCTTCTAAACCTATATATATCTTTTACAACTACTACAAGTGGAAGAGAGTACCTTGAGAACAACCATAGGCTGAAAGATAGCAACAAATTGTGGTGCCTCTTTTCCTTGATGCATTCGACCCTACAATAAGATAGTAATATTTCAAAATTAAATTCATATATAATCAGCAGTGCAACAAGCAAAAAGCTATTATATTTATGATACCTGAACAGGTTTGCATTTCATAGAGTTGAACATTGAAGTAGTTTGTTGAACAGCCGTTTTTTGGTCCTCCTGAGATCAGACAACATATCAAGTCCTCATCCCAAATACACAATTATTTATTTTTATTTTTTTAAAGAAAAGAAATAATATGGTTTTAGTTTACCTGGATGCTATCCTTCCCAATCCAACAACACAGGTAGTGATCTTCTTTCTTTTCATCAGAATGGTAGGAGTAAAGACAAATATAGCAATCTCCACTATAAAATTTTCCAATATCCTCCTTGGGTAATTCCGTCTTTTCTTCACCATCAATACGCCATACCTAAACCCCAAAATTTATTTAATCATTGTACAATAAATGACTGAATCCAAATGTAGCAACAAGTTTATGATCTGAAACCTCAATTTTTCCATTTTCTCCAAGCAAAGGTGGAACATCCTCCTCTACAGGATCCGTTTTTGTCTGACCTTTGACAAAAGCACCTTGTTGCTTCAGCAGAGCTAGTAATTAGAACAAGAGTGCTAGTTTTAGAAAAAGTCGAAAATAGCCCTAAAAAATCCAAACAGCCATGTCCCATGTAACAAAAATACATAACAAATTTACCTGCTACTTTTCCTCTAGTTTCCTCAGGAACAGAAGCTGCTGAAGCTGCTGACCAAGACACAAAGTTGGATTTAAATGAACTTGTCTCATGACCTTGACCCATGCGGGTTACAGGAGTTGACTTTGGCAGATTTTCTTTGAGAATAAACTCCTACAGATGGTGTTTATATTATATAGCGGAGAATGAGAATCAATAACAGATACACAAGATAAAAGATAGTAAAAGATATAAGAGGGAGGAACCTCAGCAGCGTTCATGACAGATTTTTTATCTGGCAATGGTGTTGTTCGACCAACCCAAATGAACAAATCGGTGCCACAGTATAAAAGATAACATTTGTCATTATGTAATGATGATTTTGAAAGTTGGCCTTCTATTTCCTGAAATTGACCTCTAACAATGCTGCATATTCAAAATAGTTGGAACAGTTTCAAGATTCATAGATTAATTTAATGTACCCTAATTGACCAAAAGAGTAACTAGTATGTGTTACATGTTACAACTGAAAGAGTGGAATTTATACCAGTAAAGTTTTGGGGGAGTTTTTTCAGGAATTATATCATCATCACTTGCTACTTTCTTGCCGCCTATAGGAGCAAATCCACCAAAGAAGGCCCAAAATTCAGCTGATGGCCCCTCTGATTGTAGCTTTCCCTCATCTGCAACATATTAAGAGAATGAAAAACAGAATATAATAATAATAAGTTAATAACAATGATGATGGATGGATAATTGAATGTATACATTCTGTCAATTGATAGATCATCCAATCATAAATATTGCAAAAAGGTAATGAACAAGGAAGGGATAGAACTTGACTAACAAGTGCCCTACCAACAATTGCAACATTGCAGTTTCCCTCATGATATCTTTCCTTCATAATCTGAACAACATCTAATGCATTGAACCTTTCTTGAACATTCGTGTTGGCCCCATTAAACATAAAGATTTTATCTTTAGTGTCCAATATGAAGATTTCATCATGATTCAATGAGGACCGAGTAAAAGGGACCTGAATAAAGAGCAGAAAGATGTTTCAAAAGATGAATTAACAATTGATCTAAAATATGTTTGAATTATATATGCACCTGTTTCAATCTGACAACTCGTTTTCCTTTACATGTGTACAATCGTGGTTCAGGCTTTTCTTTTTCTTCTTTTTCCTTCTCCATCTTCTTCTTCTTCTTCTTCTTCTTTTTCTTTTTCTTCTTCTGCGGGTGTTTTGACTTCAGATCCAAAACCTCCCTCAGGTGGAATTATACATGGTTTAAAGTATGACAAAAACCTATTAGATTCATGACCTTGAAGTTCTCGATACTCTATTGCACGATTGCCAAGAACTGAATCAAGCTCAACAGCTTTTACAGCTGCTGCTCCAGCTTCATCCTAATTTACATCATGAATTTGACTATTTATTACAGATATACACACAAGAAATTTTCAAAAAAACGTAGAATGAAATACCTGATTAGCATCTTTTCCCAACCAGAAATGTATATTGTAAGTGTATGCACCTGCCTTGCCAGCAGTCTGCAAAATAAACAAATTGTTGAAATAGAATTATACCACTTGAGATAAAAGGACAGAAGAAAAAAGATAAAATTTTGGAGGTTATAAGCACCTTCAAGACAATGTATGAATCACCAGAGGAGAATCTACCATGGTCAGAATTTGGTAAAAGTACTGGTTGTGAGTTCTCAATTTTCCATATTTCAATCCCTCTACAAGGAATTAAGGGAAAAAAAATCTACACAACTGTTTACAATGGAGGTAAAGTAACAATATCCATATGTGAAAATTTGTATATATTATAAAAGTTAGAAATTCAATAAGGATACACTTTCTGACCAACTCCCTGAAATGCAGGCTCCAGAACTCTGATAGACATGGTGCAGAAATCCTGTGTTATAACTTGTTTCAACGAGGATTGAGAAGAAGATCATCCAAGGTTTCAAGGCCCTGCGATTTCAATCAGTAAGTCAGTTGTATTTGTGGGAGTTGGTTTTCCTGAAAAAAGAGAGCTCATTGACATGTTTTCTATATCTATCAGACTATCACCTTTAGCATATTCAACCAATGATCAAAAATCTTAATAAGAGCCAATGTCGTGATAAGATCAAAACAAGCAGCATCATCTAACATACATATATGCAAAACAAGCAATTTTCCGTACTCCTAACTTTTTGGAAAAGATGATCAAATTCAAATCGAAATCAGGGAACTGCATCAAAATATTTGACGACATATAAACAAGTGAAACAATCAATCGATGAGAAGGAAAACGTACCTGGGTAACACCCAAATAATTTCTCACGCCAAAACGATCACAATGTGCTGAGTTTTGAAAGAGGAAACATTAGGGTAAAGTAGATAATTGATGGAGAAAGAGAGAGAAAGAGGAATGGGGGTACTAAAAGAGCTCAATAATTGGTGTTTACAGGTTGTTTTCAAATCTTTTCCGGACGGGGTTTCTTCTATGATCTTGATATATGAATGAAAATTCAAAGTTGTAGTTGAAAAGGAGATTATAGGAAGGTGAGAATGAACGAGGCATGCAGGCCCGTAGAGAAGGAAAAAATCAAAAAAGGCGAAGTTCTTTGCAGAGATCCGGTGACAAGGGCACCTGCGAACGCTTCCTTTTCGTTTCGATTTTCCCTTTTTGTGTCCCCATTATTTTCTTTCTTTAATTTTTTGTCCTTGAAAGTTGAAAGTGCATTTGGCAATTGGCAATTCTTTTCTTGGCGTCAAATTCAAAATTGAAGTTGGGAGTTGGGACACAACCGTAGGGTTGTAGCTGGGACCAGGATAGCTTTGAGTTCGTCTCCGGTTCACAAAGTTAGGTTTCGGTTCGGTTTTTTTTTTTTTTCGTACTTTTGTTTAAATGGAAATAAGCTAAATATATTATAAATTTGACATAATTACAAATAATATTAACAAGGAAATTAAGTAACTAACTTTTATAAATGTTATAAATGAGTACCTAACCGTTATAAATAAGTAATTTATTAATAATATTAAACTTTTATAAATTTTGGAAAATTGATCATTTTCTTTAGAATAGAGCATTATAGAGAAGTATTATTTATTTCATAGTGTTTGGTGGTAGGCAAAGTTTGGATTTTGGAAGCTAACATAATCAATTTCAGAGTACACGGTAGTTAAAACTGTACATGCAGATATGACATTTCGGGCACACAAAAACTAGGTTTTACTTTGCTATATAACACGTGATATTCCATTTAATTATTCACCTACAACCAAAATCCATAATTCTCTATTATAACTGTTAGACAACGACCACGAAGAAAACTTTTCAAACTTGCATGTTTACATGCACAACCTTCAGCGGACGAACCATCATAGTTACACGAACATCAAAACTAATGTCATGGATTGTTTCCAACTCTGTTTTCTGGCTATTGGATGCGTGGTAAAATAACTTTGCTCCAAATTTTAATTGTATAGTTAAAATGTATAATCTTTTTACAACTTATTGTTTTATTTTCCTAAAAAAAATACAGTTTCATGCATTCATAGGTTGTTTGTTGTTTGTCATATTTACAGGTAACGTTTCTCTAAGAGGGGACTACCTACACAATGTTCATAGTGGTTGCTATAAACAGAAACATCCAGATCTTACCTATAGCTTTCTTTCTTGGTGTGGCAAATAATGTCGACTCTTATATGATGTTCCTCATGAGGTTGAAGGAAGCTTTCATGGATGATGTCATAACTTCATCCCTAGGTCAGGTAAATATCATTCATAACCAATATGGAGGATGCCATAACTTCATCCCTAGGTCAGGTATTCCCTAATTCTTATAATGACTATTGTTGTATGAGTGTGGCATTATATGTGCATACAAGAGATGGTCGAAACAGAACATTTGAACCTTTCTTCTGGCACACATGCAAATCATATACTATGTCTGTTTTTCAAGAAACATTTTGTTAGTTAACCCTTATTGCATGTGAGGTGCTTACCAACATAGGTCATGTGAAATGAGAAATACTCTATTTCCCAACATCTGTTGGAATGTACTCAACGTTGATATTCCACAATTCATTCTGGTGTTATCGGTTAATAAACACAATGTAATGATAATTAACGCTTATTGAGGTAATATGTGACTACATTCAATGGATTTTTATTCAACGTAGTCACATGGGAGGTAAAATGATATATAAATACTAAATTATTATTTAGTTGTAAAATTAACATAAATTATAATGTTTATTTTTCAGGGAGATTGACTAACGTACTCACCCTGTATGTCGAGATGGTGCTTCAGAGGAGGATGCACAAGTTTGTTCAGTAATATCACGTCCGACATTTTTCAAGTTTTTTATTTTAGAAAAAACTTGTGTTGTATATCTAAACAACTACACATGTTCATGTGGGAAATGGTGCAGTCTTAGCATATCATGTGGTCATGCTATTACAGCATCACGTTATTCAAACATTACAGATTTTTTCCTATGTAGTTCAGATATATTATCAGACTGATGTATTTTTATGTACATACCAGACGCAAAATATGCATCTTGTTCCCCTTCCATCTGAACTGGACATATAATACCCATTGATGGTTGTTTTAATCCCTGTGTAACCGAATATTTATTTTTAATAGCAATTAATTATGTTTGTTAAACGTCTTCACCTTTGATCTTATGTCTTTAAACTTACTCTTGACTTCTTCTTCTATTCGATACTCTCTACGAGATAACTTATAGTGAAACATATTTTTGAAGCGGACCCAAAGTGATCCATACATCAAATATGGGAGATCGGTGACAACAATATCATCACCAATGATTATCCAAGACCGAACGAGCGTGCTCACTAAATCTGAAGTCCATGGCATGGGTTAATTTGTTGTTATTCTGGAGTTGTATAAGTAACTTTAATGTCACTCTTAACTATAATGGGTCATGAACACTGAAGGTCACGCAATCCAATGCACATATTCCATACTGATATTCCGGATTGACATTTCGGATGTTAACAGAGTCATACAACAACATTGCACACAATCTCAGACATATATTCCTAACACACACATTACTTTGTTAAAAAATCACACTATTAATATGCATCTACCATCCATCGTAAAAGAAGTACGTTAGCAAAGTAATAACTTGAGAATGAGTTCGTCTGAATTTCGTGATTGACATTATTGTGACAACCGAGGCAAAAGCGTCACTGATCGCCGTTAGGAATCAACGTAGACAATAAAGTGTAATAGGACAATAATGTAGTATTCTAGTATTATATATATATATATATATATATATATATATATATATATATATATAGGGTTAGGTTAATGTGTTTCTTACATTTATTGTGTGCTAGAATGCACCAATAGGAATTTAGTAAAATTAAATAATTATTTAATTAAATAAAGATAGATATTAAATGATTTTCATAATTGTATGTATATTAAATGATATCCATAATTATAATTATTTTTTTATGGAAACTAATTAAATTCATCATTAACGTCAGCAATAACATTCTTTCAGAATGAATTCGCATCTAGGTTTTTATTTATGAATTCGTTTTTTGTTTCGTGACTCATTCAATTAAAATACAATAAATTTGTATGGAATATGAAGAACAAAAGTATATTCTAGTATAATACACTCTCATTCTGCTAGAATACGCTCTCATTCTTCTAGATACGAATTCATTCTGAAAAAAATATTATTGTTAACATTAATGACGAATTTAATTAGTTTCCATAAAAAAAATTATAAGTATGGATATCATTTAATATACATATATTTTTTACTAAATTCTTATTGGTGCATTCTGGCACACAATAGATGTGGGAAACATTTGAACCTACCTCTATATATATATATATATATATATATATATATATATATATATATATATATATATATATATATGATGGTTCACCTGAGATTAAAAAAACAGTAGAGATCTTGAGATTTAATCTTAACCACATATTTCTCATTTTCCGTTCTAGCGCTCCAGCACACCTGCAGCAGTGGGGTATGCCTAATCATAAATGATTACATGGCAGAGAGGTATAATCATATATGATTATACATGTCTCTACGTATATGCTTAATCATAAATGATTATACATATATGTCCGTTCACAGAGTAATCATATACGATTATGACAGTTGGTGGTAGAAGAGGTGGTGATAACAGAAGTGGTGGTGGTATAAGTGACGTAGGTGACAGTGGTGGGATCTGCTGGTGTTAGAGGTGGCGGTAGTGGTTGTGGCGGTGGCGGTTGCGGTGGTGGGGATGGGGGCGGAGGAAAAAGGAACGGGTGACGTTATATAATCATTTATGATTATAACAGGTCTTCCGCACCAGTACACTGGAGGGTTAGAGCGGCAGATGTGAAATATTTGGCTGATGTTGAATCTCAATATCTCTATTTTATTTTTAATCTCAACGGAACCTACATCTCTCTCTCTCTCTCTCTCTATATATATATATATATATATATATATATATATATATTCGATTTCGTCCTAACCAAACGCGATTATTACGACAAATAGGCTCAAAAATAAGTGCGCGAAAAATTGTGTCGTCTTATGAGCAGGTTAACATATTCAGAATGTACGCCTCAACGTGATTCCAAAAATATAAATTTCGTAAAAATCCGACCTATCATGGAGGAGATATAGTTTTTACTATATATTGGAATCAATCGTGCATAAAAAGTTAAAACGTCGAAAATTACAAAGAGAACGGTTGACTTCTAGCAAAAGTCACCAAAAAGAAAAACATAGTACTTCTCAAAGTAGGAATTTTGAGACCGAGAACGTCGAAAACAAAAGCCGTATGAGAGTTATAATTTTTACAAAATCATCAAAGGTAGAAAATATATGCTAAAAATGAAAGTTGGAATTAGCCAAAACTACCAAAAAGGAAAGTTGTACACGTCGATACCTACACATGGATATAAGAATCGTCGAAAATGGAGCTCATACGCAGGAGTTATGGAATTTAGAAATTTGAATTCTCGTCGCACACGCACCACTTTGTTCTTACATTTGATTGAACGAAAGGTTTAGATTGAAATTGAGATTGTGTTTCCATTGGTTGTTTGTCTCTAGATTTCATCTTGAATTGTATTATAAAATCATAGAAGAATTTCAAAATTAGAATAACAAAACATAAGTTGATCATAACAGAAAAATTACAATCCAACATAACAAAAACTAAAACTAACACTAAAATTAACAAACCAAACAAAATTTTGAAGTTCCATATATATAAAATAAACTTAAATAGTGGGGTAAGGTTTCCTTCATGGCCAAAATTAATTAAAATAATGTATTGTGGAAGTAAACAATATAGGACTTATGTATTGATTTTGTCAATAGACTTAATTAAAAAATCATGTACGGATCGTAGGTTGTGAGCAATTAAAATTGAACTAAAAAAAGACATGTAACCAATTATTATTTGTAGCAGGTTGCAACTGTGAAAGACGAAGGTTGTAATGTATTAAAAAAGAGAGACGTGATTATGGAATACTGTGTATTATCATGGAGATAACGAGACATAAGAAATCGACCTACTATGCGTTACATTCAATTGAAATTGTAATGGGCTATATTTGCTGCAAGTTGTGAAGCCCGTACTTCATATTTCAGCCCAAAAATTAGTCAGGTCCTCAATTCATCGGTTTAAACGGTATTTGACCAGTTCATTACAACCAGTTCAACCCGAAAATATCAAAAACCAGCCGGTTCTCTCCGGCATAGAAGCATAAAACCAGTCACTACACCACCGGTTCTTAAAACCTTGCAAGGAAGTTCTAAACTTGAGAGATGTCAAATCTAATAACTATATTTAATACAATAAATCCTTTTATTATGATTATGATTTACAACCTTCCTTAATAAACCAATTTTACTCCCCCCCAAAAAAAAAATAATAATAATAATAATAATAAAAATAAAAAAAAAATCTTAAAAAAAAAAGAGGCAACTGATGAGCCTTCAGCCTTCGGAACCAAACCACTGGTGCAAACGTATGATACATGGCCCCATCAAAACTCACACAACCAAGATATTTTTTAAAAATAATTTGAATTACTTAAAGTACATTTTACTATTTTAGTAGCTGTAAACTTTATCGTATAATTGTATACTACCGTTTTCTTTATTATAATTGATCAAGCTATTTTTATAAAAATTTGACTGACTTAATTAGATGAGTAGACATGTCACAGACATCTAACTAAACAGATTGGTTTGGAGAATTTTAATCTAAATCATTTATGATTTATGAGTTTTTAATATGAAATAAATATTATTTTAATATGAAATAAATATAATATGAGTTGTTACTTTACTTTCTCGCTTGTCATCCACACTCCCTAAAATCCACGTCCTCCTCGTATTGATTTTGAAAATCCCAAACAACCAATCAAAACCCACCAAAAATCATCATCATACCCCCTTCTCAGATAGACCCTGATTTCATTTATACCCCATTTTCTCTCTCACACACTAAAAAAACACACATACTCTCTAAACGACAACCTCATGCACCACGTACCTTTCCTACGTGTCTTCTTCCAAAACCATTAACCCGGCAAGTATGCAACTCCGATTTTTTCACTTCACTCGAATATATAATCCAGAAATCCCAAGAAAAACAGAGAGAAGGGCACGGAGACAAAAAGAAACGGTCTGCCATTGTTGTTATCGAGCTTCATAAGCTCAACATACAGAGCTAAGTTCACACACACTAAACTCAACCCTTCTTTATTTATCCCTTTTTATATTTTCTTTTACTTCAAATTACAGAGCGGTTTGCTGTATATAAATGGCATCATCTTTGATTTCAACACCATTTACATTACCCACAACCAAAGCCGATCAATTATCTTCAATTTCTCAAAAACACTACTTTCTCCACTCGTTTCTACCAAAAAAATCTTCACCGCATTCACCCAATTCAAGAACACCACACAGTTTGGGTGTGAAATGTGCTGTTGTCGGGAACGGCCTTTTCACCCAAACAACACAGGAAGTTCGTCGGATCGTACCTGAAAACAAGCAAGGCCTCCCGACTGTTAAAATCGTGTATGTGGTGTTGGAAGCCCAGTACCAGTCGTCACTTTCAGCTGCAGTCAGGACTCTGAACAGCAGCAACAAGTTTGCTTCGTATGAGGTGGTGGGGTATCTGGTCGAAGAGCTTAGAGACGAAAATAACTACAAGAGCTTCTGTTTAGACCTTGAAGATGCAAACATCTTCATCGGGTCGTTGATTTTTGTGGAGGAACTGGCGTTGAAAGTGAAGGATGCGGTGGAGAAACAGAGGGACAGAATGGATGCGGTGTTGGTGTTCCCTTCGATGCCTGAGGTTATGAGGCTGAACAAATTGGGATCATTCAGTATGTCTCAACTCGGGCAATCAAAAAGCCCCTTCTTCCAGCTTTTCAAGAACAAGAAGAAGTCATCGGCCGGGTTTTCTGATCAGATGTTGAAGCTGGTGAGGACGTTGCCAAAGGTGTTGAAGTATCTGCCGAGTGATAAAGCTCAAGATGCGAGGCTTTATATCCTGAGTCTGCAGTTTTGGCTTGGTGGGTCCCCTGATAATTTGGTGAATTTTGTGAAGATGATTTCGGGGTCTTACGTTCCGGCTTTGAAAGGGATGAAGATTGGGTATTCGGATCCGGTAATGTTCTTGGATAGCGGAATCTGGCATCCATTGGCTCCATGTATGTATGAAGACGTGAAGGAGTATTTGAATTGGTATGATACAAGAAGGGATACAAATGAGAAGCTAAAGAACCCGAATGCTCCTGTCGTTGGATTGGTTTTGCAAAGGAGTCATATCGTGACAGGAGACGATAGTCATTATGTGGCTGTCATTATGGAATTGGAAGCGAAAGGTGCAAAGGTGATTCCGCTTTTTGCGGGTGGGCTTGATTTCTCGGGTCCCATCGAGAAGTATCTGATCGACCCGATCACAAAGAAGCCGTTTGTGAACTCGGTGGTGTCGCTGACTGGGTTTGCATTGGTGGGAGGGCCCGCAAAACAAGATCATCCAAGGGCAATCGAGGTGCTGATGAAGCTGGATGTGCCATACATTGTGGCGTTGCCTCTTGTGTTCCAGACGACAGAGGAATGGCTGAACAGCACTTTGGGGCTTCACCCGATTCAGGTGGCTTTGCAGGTTGCTCTTCCAGAACTTGATGGAGGAATGGAGCCGATTGTTTTCTCAGGACGAGACCCAAGAACCGGTAAATCCCATGCCCTTCACAAGAGGGTGGAGCAGCTCTGCACCAGAGCAGTCAGATGGGCAGAACTGAAGAGGAAAACAAAGGTACCTACTTACTCTTTTTCTCTCTCTCACATCACATATGCCTTGTGGTGCTTTTCTTTTAATAATAAACAGAGAAGTAAGGAAAAGTATGAATGAAGTAAAAAAAGTTAATTTTGATGTAAAACTTGAATGCAGACTGAGAAGAGGGTGGCGATCACGGTGTTCAGTTTCCCACCAGACAAAGGCAATGTGGGATCTGCTGCATACCTGAACGTGTTTGCGTCCATTTTCTCGGTGCTACAAGACCTGAAAAAAGATGGTTACAATGTGGAAGGCCTTCCAGAGACTTCTCAAGAGTTGATTGAAGAGATTCTTCATGACAAAGAGGCTCAGTTCAGCAGTCCAAATCTGAATGTTGCATACAAAATGGGAGTGAGAGAGTATCAGCAGCTGACTCCGTATGCCACTGCCTTGGAAGAGAACTGGGGAAAGCCTCCAGGGAACTTGAATTCTGATGGGGAGAATCTCTTGGTTTATGGGAAAGCATACGGAAACATATTCATCGGAGTCCAGCCCACTTTTGGGTATGAGGGTGATCCCATGAGGCTGCTTTTCTCAAAATCAGCAAGCCCACATCACGGATTTGCAGCTTATTACACTTATGTTGAGAAGATCTTCAAAGCGGATGCTGTTCTTCATTTTGGAACCCACGGGTCGTTGGAGTTCATGCCTGGGAAACAGGTCGGGATGAGTGATGCTTGTTTTCCCGACAGTCTTATCGGGAACATCCCGAATGTCTACTATTATGCAGCTAACAATCCTTCAGAAGCCACCATTGCCAAGAGAAGAAGTTATGCCAACACCATAAGCTACCTGACTCCACCTGCTGAGAATGCTGGTCTTTACAAGGGTCTGAAGCAGCTGAGCGAGTTGATTGCATCGTATCAGTCTCTCAAAGACACGGGTCGTGGTCAGCAGATCGTGAGCTCCATCATCAGTACAGCCAAGCAATGCAATCTTGACAAAGATGTGGATCTTCCTGAAGAAGGTGTGGAGATTTCAAGCAAAGAACGTGATCTTGTTGTTGGAAAGGTGTATTCCAAGATCATGGAGATCGAGTCGAGACTGTTGCCATGTGGGCTTCATGTGATCGGTGAGCCTCCGACAGCCATGGAGGCTGTTGCCACTTTGGTCAACATTGCCGCCTTGGACCGACCGGAAGAAGGGATTTCCTCTCTTCCATCGATACTGGCGGAGACGGTTGGTAGAGAGATAGAAGATATTTACAGAAGCAGTGATAAAGGAATCTTGAAAGATGTGGAGTTGTTGAAGCAGATCACAGAGGTGTCTCGTGGGGCTGTTGATGCTTTTGTGCAGCGGAGCACCAACAGCAAGGGTCAGGTGGTTGATGTGTCTGGTAAATTAAGTACATTCCTTGGGTTTGGTCTGAATGAGCCTTGGATTCAGTATTTGTCTGAAACCAAGTTCTACAGAGCCGACAGGGACAAGCTCAGGGTTTTGTTCCAGTTCTTGGGCGATTGTTTGAAGCTCATTGTGGCTGACAACGAGTTGGGCAGCTTGAAACAGGCTTTGGAAGGAAAGTATGTGGAGCCGGGTCCAGGAGGCGACCCGATCCGGAACCCGAAAGTGTTGCCCACGGGAAAGAACATTCATGCGTTGGACCCACAAGCAATCCCGACAACAGCAGCCATGCAAAGCGCAATGGTGGTGGTGGACAGGCTGCTGGAGAGGCAGAAGGCGGACAACGGAGGAAAGTATCCGGAGACGGTTGCATTGGTGTTGTGGGGAACAGACAACATCAAGACTTACGGGGAGTCACTCGGTCAGGTGCTATGGATGATCGGTTGTAGGCCGGTTGCAGACTCACTGGGACGAGTCAACCGGGTGGAGCCTGTGAGTCTTGAAGAGCTCGGAAGGCCAAGAATCGATGTCGTTGTCAACTGCTCGGGAGTCTTCAGGGATCTGTTCATCAATCAGGTACCGAATCAATTTCTTTGTCAAATGCTTTTTTCAATTTTCCAGGTTTTTCTCTGACAGTATTTGTTGTTACAGATGAACCTGCTGGACAGGGCGGTGAAGATGGTGGCTGAGCTGGATGAGCCGCTGGACCAAAACTATGTTCGGAAACACGCACTGGAACAGGCGGAGGCTCTTGGGGTGGATGTGAGAGAAGCTGCAACTCGTATCTTCTCAAATGCATCCGGATCCTACTCATCAAATGTAAACCTTGCAGTTGAGAACTCATCATGGAACGATGAGAAGCAGCTTCAAGACATGTATTTGAGCAGAAAGTCGTTTGCATTCGACAGCGACACTCCTGGTGCTGGAATGGAAGAGAAACGACAAGTGTTTGAGATGGCATTGAGTACGGCCGAAGCCACATTCCAAAACCTCGACTCGTCTGAGATCTCTCTGACAGATGTCAGTCATTACTTTGACTCCGACCCCACCAACCTTGTTGGAAGCCTACGGAAGGACGGGAAGAAACCAAACGCGTACATTGCAGACACCACCACGGCTAACGCTCAGGTGCGGACCCTCTCGGAGACGGTCCGTTTGGACGCAAGGACAAAGCTGTTGAACCCGAAATGGTACGAAGGGATGCTGTCGAGTGGTTATGAGGGTGTTCGTGAGATTGAGAAGCGGCTCACAAACACAGTTGGGTGGAGTGCGACTTCTGGGCAGGTGGATAACTGGGTGTATGAAGAGGCTAACACCACCTTCATTCAAGACGAGGAGATGTTGAACAGGCTCATGAACACAAACCCTAACTCCTTCAGGAAGTTGGTGCAGACCTTCTTGGAGGCCAATGGGAGAGGCTATTGGGACACTACGGAAGATAATATTGAGAAGTTAAAGCAGTTGTACTCAGAGGTTGAAGATAAGATTGAGGGTGTCGATCGGTAATTTATAGTTATGTGATATTTATAACCTTGTCATTCGTTTCCTTTTCCCCAAAACTGTAAACATTTTGATCGCTCATGGGGACTACTCTCATTGTATGTTAAGATTCTGATTTACAAAAAGTTTAATGTAAATTCAATAAGTTTCACATTGCGAAACAACAGATAGAGTGAAGGCCCCATCATAATCTATCTTCTATGACTGAGTAAAACCATTTGCCTTAGAAATTGATAGTGCTTCTGTTTGCTTTGTGTTTGAGTAAGAACACCCATGGAAGCAAAAATGAAACAAGTGCAGGCAGAGAGAGGCAGGCATCAGACGTGATAACATGATTATAACTTCAATTTATCAAATCACAAACGAAGTTGTAGAATTATTGAAGCAGTTTCTAACATTACATTACCATACTTAAAAAGCCAAAAAAAATAGAATGCCATTGCTGTGGTCATTTTATGCCAACAAATACTGTTATTGATGCTTCTGAGAAACTTGCAGTCATCTGTGGGTGAGCAATAACATACCCTCAGCCCATGGCACAAGACTCTTGAACTCTGTCACTGGGAATCTTGATATGTCAAATATTGGCTCACTGTTTACAATTCACCATGTTTCTTGAAAATCAAACTTTTAATTAGGTCAAAAGGAGTAAAAATCAGCTCATGTGTTTCTATTTCTCGCCTTTACTTTAGCATGATCCAGCATGCAAAATCCATAGAATTTTCACGACACAAGAGTTCATGAATTGCGATATATCAATGGAGAGATTGAACATTATATCAATAGATACTAATGGACATGTCAATACAAATATAATCACTCGAACAGTTAATTTCTCAACTTATCTTTTTCTCATCATCTTTACGTGTTTTCAACAACTTGGGCCTTGGCTTTAAAGGTTTTAAGAAGGAAGCCTGAAAACTGACCATTGTTCTCAAAACGCTAATCAACTTGGCCTCAATGTCTACCCCATTTGGTTCAAGAACTCGTAAACACCGTGCAACCGCCTCCATTGTACTCATGCAACCACCAAAAGGTTCCTTCCTGAGTATTAACTCAGAGTTGTATATTGTTCCGCCATCAACATTAACATCATAACTCAAACATACCTGAGTTGCAAACTTTGACAAAAATGGAAAGCTAGAGTATACCATCTCCTTTGCGTGCTTCCATGTCCCATCAAAAGCAATCAGAACAAATTTGTTTGAATCATCATCCCCAAATGAAGACTTCCACTGGTTAATCTCCATTGAAGGAGTAAGGTCCGTACCTATAAAGTGGAAACAGGTCAGCACTCAGCAGTCTGTACCTGTAAAACAATGCAGGACAAGACTACATTCACTTGAATTCCAGAAGCCCTCATAAGGTGTCCTGAATTTTATTACCATGAATTATCTAATGGAATTGAGTTTTATTGTTTATCAATTTTCAACATTGGAGTGTGTTTTGTCGAATCAAAGTAATCCGCAATGAAAAGGTTGAATTCATCATTGTTGGTGATATTTGACTGAGTATCATACCCAGACAAATTCATTTCCAGAGCATCTTTTTCATGAATTATATTAACAAGAACACCATTAGCAGAATATAAACAAAGTATCTAGCAAAGTCAGAATCATACCAGGAAAGAGAAAAGCCGCATGTAGACATTGGTTAGGGTTTTCTTCGGTGGCAGCATCATGGAGAGAGTCAAGAAGAGCCGACCCACCCCCGTCGTAATCGACGGCCAATTAGGGTTTGGCAGCTGCGGAGGCATTTGTTAAGATTCTGATTCACCAAAATTTAATGTAAATTTTAGTAGTTTATTATGAATTCATCAAATGTAGGACATGATTTACTTGCAAGAAAATTACCTTTAAGTTAACAAAGAACGACTCCCAGCTATAAGGAACTCTAGTGAACAAGTTTCACTTGGACATTTCCCCGAACAGCTTGTGTGCATTCTTGCCGCATTTGCACATGGTGTATACATAAACCTGGCCTTCCGGCCAAACAGCGAATGGTCCTCTCCCCCCTCTCTTAGAGCTTCCAATGGCGAACAGCCTCATGTGTGATACTGGCAATGACTGCTTTATGGTCTTGATGTTGTTCACAATAGGGAGTAATGAGGAAGCAAGTTGGAACTTGGAAATTCTTTAGCTTTACTTGCCGGTAATCTTTACATGAACAAGATCGATGCAAGTAGGCCTAATATATAAACGAAAGACTGATAAAATATTTCCAGGTAACAAGGTTTCTCTTGAACATTTCCTCGAAACGTGAGCATGCACTACCAACAAACCGTTATCAATGGCTAGTTTGATAAGAATCGACTATTACTTGGATTTGTTTTAGCAGTATTGGGTCTCAAACAAATTAGTAAATAGTACACAGCTTCTCCTACCACAAACATCAAAATGATGATTATTTAACACCGATTGCATTTCAACACAAACATCAAAATGATGATTATTTAACACTGATTGCATTTCAACCCACCTTTAAAATAGTTGTTTTTAGAGGCTTTCATATTTGACCTCTGTATTTTGTGTTAAAAAGAGCCAATACAAAAATGATATAATTTTTGAAGGTTAATCGGAGTAAAAATGACCTCTAAAATGGTATTTTAGAGGTTCATTGGAGTTGGCCTTAGGACTATATTTCGACCATAGTATGAAATTAGCTCCACGAAATTAGTTTGAAAAATGATTAGTGTTTATTGAAAAGGTCGGTGATAGATCAAAGAGACAAAAATGCATGCATAAAAGCATTTCCGATGGGATTGATGAAAGGCATACAGCTTGGCAAACAGTGTCAATGTTGGGCTTTGCTGACGTTTTTCTCTTCTCATCTCATTTCCACGACTACTTTTTTTTTTGAATTTTTATCCTATATAAATCCCAAACAATCGTATTTTGTCATTTAGCATATTCCAAACAATCGTACTTTGTCAATTAGCATATTGATGCTCTGGATGAGGACTGGAGTATGTATGTGCAAGAAATAAACCCTTGTTTTTCTCTCTTTTGCTCTCTATGATAACTGCAAATTTTACATAACACACTAAATGAAAATAAGATATATAGGTGGGCTTAAGGTTTGGACTTACCAATGGGCTAAAATACCTAACAATAAACACAAAACTAGAAAGTTTGGATTGTCTTCGTTAGGCATGGGGAATCGTCCTACTACATACCATGGTCAATATAAGCGAGGTTATCATAGATACACGACGTTTCAAGTAATATTGAATGAGTAGCCTCACAAGATCAATAGATCTAGCATGCCTTCTTTGGTTATCCTAGTTCGCTTGATGACATTAATGTTCTTAACAAGTCACCGCTATTCAACATATACAACATAACTGCACCAGGTTCTTCGTTTCAGGTGAGGTGGAGCGTCATCAGGCCAGTTCGTATCAGTGTCTCACAGTGGCACCGACACGCCTAACTTTCGTGTACACAGTGTAAAAAAATTTGAAATTTTTTTTCTACTATTGCACCACTACTTAATGTGCAACTACGTAAAAAAATGTGTCACTATAGACAATTTTTTCCCGTGCCACACATAGTGTGAAATCTTGCATCCGCCTTAAGCATCATACAAGTACGAGTATTATCTTGTTGATGGGATCCATATTGAGTATGCTGTATTTGTTAAATCATTGTCATATCAAAATGTTATTAAACGGAAAAAAAAGGAAAGCAAAAGAAAGAGATAGGAAGAATGTAAAACGAGCCTTTTGAGCCCTTAAGAAACATTGACATATACTAAGACATTCGACACTTTTTTTTAGGCGAAACATATTACATAATATGATTATAGAAGATGAGAGAAGAACAATATGAGAATACAAACAAAACAAAAGCGTTCAAAAAAGATCGGTGCATGGCAAGAAGAGCGGAGATATATAATAATGAAACACATCACAATCTTTGCAGAGACTTGATGGAGCATATTTATTGAGTTGAACACGTTGATCTAAATGTAGAACCCATACATGATTTGGATGATGAATTTTTTGACGAAGACTTTGTGTAACATGTTTTAATTTATTTTTATGTATTTTTAAGTTTTTAATTTCTTGTTTCAATTAATAAAAAATTTAGTTTTTATCTAAATTAAATTGTTTAAATAAAATAAAAAATAAATAAATGTTGCATGACATGGCAAACCATTCCATTATGTCACAAAAAAGTAGGAGAAGTGTGGCAAAAAGGATACATGGCAGACAAAAGGAAGTTGCAAATATGACACCACTCCCTCGAGAGGTATGTGTGGATTCAATAAAGAAGCCTTGATCCCAAGACTAGTTGCGTCTTTTTCGACTAGTGAGTTGTTGCCTAGCCTTTGGTCATTGAACTTGATCATTGAAAGACTTTTCGAGTCAAACTAATAAAATAACTGTTTATCCTTCTTAAACGGATCCATCATCTTATCTTATGCTCCTAAATCAAGAAAAAAAAACTTTTGTTGACTCTAAGGCTGAGGAAAGCTTAAACAATAAATAAAAAAAAACGTTGCATGACATAACAAATCATTCCATGTGTGTGACAAAGAAATAGGAGATGTGAGGCAAAAAGGAGATGTGGCAAACAAAAGGAAGTGGCAAAGATGAAACTACTCTTCCAAAGAAATATGCGTATGAGTGTTGGTATAGGTGTACGTGTGGGGTAGGTGGGTGTTGGTATTGGTATGAGTGTAGGTATGAGTGTAACTGTGTAGGTATGAGGTGGGGGTAGGACGAGTGTGTGTGGATATATGGGATGAGGGTGGGTGGGTGGTGTGGGGTGGGTAGGAGTGGGCATTGGCATTTGGGTGTCGGTTTGGTAGTGGGGTAGTGTGTATATGGATGTGGGGGTGGGTGGGTACAGGGGTGGTTTGGTAGTGGGGTAGTGTGTATGTGGGGTTAGGTGGGTACAGGGGTGGCATGGGTGTGGATGAGGATAGGTTTGGGTGAAGTGTGGAAGAGATGATTATAATTTGTTTTATTTGATGAATTATAGTAACTAGAATAAATAGGAGTTTGAAGAGATTTTTTGTCATTTTAATAAAATCTAAAATCTTTCCTTCAAGCGCATAATTTAATGGAATTTAAAAAATTCAAAATTTTTTTATTTTGTCAACCAAACACAATTTTTACTAGAATTTACATTCTAATTCCTTCAAAACCCATCAACCAAGCACGCCCTTAAACCCAAAGCAGTTCGAGCGGCACCAAACCAAAACAAAGTGTTTGACTAATGCTGTTCACAAGCAGTAGGAAACAAGTTGTAGATTTTTTTTACTTAACTTGTATGAATAGTTGAATACCAATGTACAAATTAGGCTTGCCTTAAACAATCTGTACTAAATTCAGGAAGAAATGAAACAAGAAACAGAATCTTGGGACATCAAGATTTTACTTCTTTTTTCCACCTCCTCCTTCCACCCTATAAATTTTACACAAAATCTCCAACAGTCCACATCAAGAAAATCTACAAAAGGTTCACATTCATCTATGGAAAGAATGATACAAAAAATGCAGCCAACAGGGGTATTAGAAGTTCTCTTTAAACCAACTCCATTAATAAAGGGTCACCTGCTGCCATTATTCTGATGAGCTTTATAAATTCTTGCTCACTTGACACACTCCATGGATGAACTGCAGCTGCTTCAGGAGAATAATAACTCAAAGAAGTGTTTGAAGGTACTTCTTGCTTATACACCATAGTGCTAAACACAGAGTCAAAATTCTCAGTGGAATCCATTGCTAAAAAGAACATGGGAATAGCAACCTTCTGATGAATATCAAGATTTCCCACAAGATTTACAAGATCTTTGAAGTCATTGACTAGTCTTCGGGGAACATAAAACACCTCAGAGCTGCAAATTGTGAGGCTTGAATCATGGCTAGTCATATGTTTCTTGTAGTTAACTTGGAAATGAACAGGCATTGAGCTCACAACTTTCTTCACCATTTCTCCTTGTTTTCCATACCAATCTTGGTTACCATTGAATGAAACAGTGCTCCAAGATTTTGAGACCTATAAAGGTGTAATAAAAGAGAAATGAAAGTAAGATACTATAATGAAAAAAATAAATAAAAGTATGCTTTGCTATGAAGAAACATGACAATTAAATCATACCTTGTCTGTTATCCAGAGCTTAGTCTTATCTGCTTGGACTAAGTTCCAGTAATTAAGAACTGTATTATCCTGGAGAAACAAAAATCCTTCTGCACTTGAAAACCTATCGAACAATTTTGGAAGATGCCTGCAATAAAAAATAAAAAAAATAAAAATTATTATTTTAATAATAAATTTGTAATCATATTTAATATGTTTATTATTTATGAAATTAAAGAAAGGGTGGTGGGCCAACCTGCCTGTAGGAAGTTTTAATTAAAGAAAATGAATATGAACAGTCACATCAATAAGTTACAGCAAAGATGGTCCAACAAATGTTCAATTATCTATGAATGCATCAAGGCAACCACTTTGAATACAGTGGATGGTGGAAATTGAGATCACACCTACCAATAATTGAATACTTGAAAACAAATTCTTTTTTATGATTTTTGTCATTCTACACAAAGTTATGATTTCTATTTTCCAATAAAAATGAAAATACAATTTGGTGAATGTTTTATTTTTTGAATAAAAATAAAAGATGAATAGTTAAGAAGAATTCGTACTTGTATTGGTGATCTAAGTGGCCTTGTTCAACAGCAAGTTGAGGGTTCTTGTTTTCTGACAAGATAACCACAGCCTTGAATATTCTTCCATACAGCAATCTCCATTCAAGTGCAGTTCGTTCAACAGGTCCATTACAGAACATAATAAGAACAACATTTCCAAAATTCTTTCTCCATTTAATCAAATTCCCTATTTCATAATTCACAGTTCCAGTTTCCTCAACTCCAAGATGAACAGATGGCAGCTTTTGAGGTACAAAATCCTTTCGATCTCCATGACCAATGGATGCTCTTGGCCTATGCAGTTCAAGTGTCATTAACCGTGGCTGCAAATACCCTACACCAATCAAATCTTGAATCCAAGCAGCTGTGAACTTCAAATCTTTTTCAGTCCAAAATCCTTCTTCAGCCATGGCGTAACTCAATTCCATTATCTTTTCAAACAATCTGTGTTTATCTGATTTCCAAGATACTAAGAACTTAATCAAACGACCCACGTTTACATGAAGATCTTTCTCTTCTGCAAATGGGTATGCTTCAATTCTATCGTATCTATGTACAGTTGGAGGGTAGACAACAACGTACCCACCAATTTCCCATAAAAGTCGCTGTGCCCAGTAACCTCTTAACACATCAGAAGCCATTGAACTTATGGAAACAGGAAGCATTAAGCCCCAAAAGGCTGAATAATGGTGTAATGTGTTGAAAGAATTCATGGGTACCATTGTTCCTTGAGGGAATGCGACCTTTGGGGCATGCTCATCGAATCGAATATCAAAAGGCTCAAGATTGGGTTTCCTAGTAAAGTAGAAAACTGAATCAACATCAGGTAAGCCATTGGAAATACCTTGTTGGATAAACTGCTTCCCACCAAAGACTTCAGTGTAATACTCTTCACGTTCAATTTCACCTACATTCTCTAATGGCAATCCCCTAGGCCAAACAGATCTTTGACCGAAATGAATGTAAGGATTGACAACAGTTCTATTCGGGTTTTCATGCGTGTATTGCAAGATAACCTCTTGTCTAGCACTCTCACCCACTAATTCGACATCAAAATGCTTACCAATGTCGTCATCAATCACTTCCCCTCTATCATCAGCATCGAATATCTTCTTTGCACCATGTTGGATCGCGAACAAATAGCCAACATTTTTTCTAACATATGAATCATAAGGCAAAAAATCAACAATTCTAAACCCTAATTTAGCTTGATCTTCAAGTGACAAATAAATAGCACCTTTAAGATTCCAATCACTAGGAGTCTTGGAGTTTCCCACAGCCAGAACTTGCCACCCTTTGATCTTCAACAGCTTCTTAAACGAATCCGTGGGATAATCCGATACCGAAACAACAATCCATTGCTCTGATCTGAAGTTTGAGTAAGGGGTAGTCTTATCAGGGATGGGTGAAATTGAGTTGTAGTTGATTTGAGGGAAATGGATGGTTTCGAGTTGTTGAGTTTGTGACTGGAAGCAGAGGAGAGCAGCGGAGTCCCCGACGTTACGGAGGAAGAAGAGAGCAGCGACGGTTGAGATTAGGAGGCCAATTGTGACGATTTTGTAAAGATTTTCGGAGAACCATGTGGAGAAATCAAGGGATTTGGATGGAGAGAATCGATTTGGGCGAATGGTTGTTGGTAGTGAAGATGATTTGGGGTTTTGGGGTTTGGAGTCGCGCTCTTTCTGGACCAACATTGGATCAAATCCCACGCCCATACACTCGCCAAGTCGAATTGAAAGATGAGAGTTGAATTCAGAAGTGTCTCATTTATGATTTGGAAATCACACAGCAGTGTGTGTGTATATGAGCAAAAGAGGGAGGGAGGAAGGAGCAGGTGAGCTAGGCTAGTTGCAACCGACAGCTGATGTTTGATTTCTTTACTAAAATTCTTCGATGTAACTTCAAGTAAACGGCTGCTATTTTGGTGGATTTGGTGACAGTGGGGTCAAAATTACTAGCAATAACACGTGGAAACTCTAAATATCATTAAAAAAAAAAAAAAAAAAAATACACTTTTTGAATCTGAATCATTTTTGGTCCCAAATGATTTCATAAGGTTTTGGTTCCAAATGGATTTTGGTTATATATAGAAATAAATCTAAATAGTATTTCCATGGAAATAAAAAGTAACAGCCAAAAAGTTGGGTGGTTAACTTTATTTTAAAAATAAAATAAAATAAAACTAAAATTTTACCCTAATTTACGAAAAATTCTCAAACTAAAATTTGTTTAGGAAAAAGCATGAAATTACCGGTAAAAATGGTGATTTGAACCATTTTTTCCGGTTTACCAGTTTTATTACTTACATGTTTCACTAAAGTCTCATTATTTTACCCTAATTTTCGAATAAGTCTCAAAATAAAATTTATTGATGATTTGGCGCTTTTCTTAATGTAACATACATTTTATCGGTTTCATTGTTGACTTAGACACCTAGTCATTAAATTAGCTTATAAGATGAATACAATGGGTTATATAATGTCACATTTACTGTAAAATTTGATACACATCTCATCGACTCATTTATGACTATATATCTATGTCAGCAATGAAACCAATAAAACGTGTGTTTCCAATAAAAAAAATGGCAGAAAATGAGTTGATGTCTGATGAGATGGATATATTGGGTTACATAAGATTAGATAGACAATTTGATATTTCTTATAAACATAAAAAATAACGCAGTTGTTGTTAGTTTATGTAATTATTGTAGTCTTCGTTGGATGTATTTTATGTTCCAAAAAGATATACAATACATCAGGATATCAAGTTTTATGCTAAACTAGCATTATATAACTCAACATATTCATCTCATCATCTCATTTAATGACTAGGCGTCCGGGTCAGCAATGAAACCGGTAAAATGTATGTTACATAAAGAAAATGGTCAAATCATCAGTAAATTTTATTTTGGGACTTATTTGCAAATTAGGGTAAAATAATGAGACTTTAGTGAAACATGTAAGTAATAAAACCGGTAAACCGGAAAAAATGGGTCAAATCGCAATTTTTACCGGTAATTCATGCTTTTTCGTAAACAAAATTTAGTTTGAGACTTTTTCGTAAATTAGGGTAAAATTTTAGGACTTTTCTGGAGATTTCCCTTATTAAAACTAGAAAACCCTAAATTAACTTTATTAGACTAATCGGTATGACACATTAAGGGGTGTTTTAGCCGATGTAAAGGTGCCTTAACGGTGTTGTAACGCCCCTCAACACCGCCCACGGCCGACATTAGGGTAAGTCCCATTATCACGAGAACGGTGAGTAACGAGAGGAATATCCAATCAAAATCTGATTTTGACCATATTGACAGTCATTTTTTCAGAATAATAATAATAATAGTTAATTTTTATTACCCATAAATACATACCTTCTAACTCAAACTCATTCACACCATTCTTTTCTTTCTCTATATTTTATACAATTTTAATACTTCTACAGGAAAAAAATAGATATGTTCGACCCGTCTAACGATGATGATGATATCTTCGTCACTATAATGTACGAGTATTGCATGAACGTGCTACTACAACCAAATTCAACTCCTCTACTAACAAGACGTGTGATGTTAAAGAAAAAGCGTGACGAATGACACCAATGTCTAGTTCGCGATTATTTTGCGAATAATTGTGTCTACCAGCCAAGCGATTTCAAAAGAAGGTTTCGTTTGCGAAAAAAAAGTGTTTGTACGGATAGCCAACGCCTTGGAAAGCAGGTATCGTTTTTTTATTTTTTGAATTTTTTAAATGTAGGTTTTAGATAAAATAAATACATTTTTTTACCTATTAAATATATGTTTAGGTATGATTTTTTTCCAAATGAGATATGATGCTAGAGGTAGGCGAGGATTCACATGGTTGTAGAAATGTGTTGCAGCAATTAAGTTGATGGCTATGGGGGAGTTGTCTGATTCTATTGACGATTATATGAGAATGTCTAATAGAGCTGCGAGAGAAAGTTTATAGATTGGCAAGAGGTGTTGTTGAAACATTCAGTGAAATTTATTTGCAGAAACCTTCATTGAATGATATGCAACAACTATATGTGATATTAAGGATATACCTTGATGTTGCCTTATCTTACTCTCCTTGATTATTGGAGTCATTGATTCATATATTCAATGCATTCCATATTTCCATGTATAGCACCTAGATTAGTGCACATTCCTATGTATATCTCAAGTGTATATATATATATATATATATATATATATATAGAGAGAGAGAGAGTGTGTGTGTGTGTGTGTGTGTGAGAGAGAGAGAGAGTGAGTGAGTGAGTGAGTGAGTTAGGTTCAAATGTTTTCAACAAGTATTGTGTGCACATATGGACCAATCAGAATTTAGCACAAATTAAATTTTTAAATAAATCAATAAGGGTAAATTAGTAATATTGCATGTATATTAAATGAATTTCAAAATTAAAATCAAATCAAATCCCTATAAAATTGCAATTAGTTTTTAAACCCTACAAAAATCACCATAACAAAAAGTAATCGACGTCCTCCTCCTTCCTCATTGCTATTGTTGCCGCCGACGTGTTCTTTCCCCACATATCCAATACTTTGAACGAAAAGATTCCCAGCTGATGGGTTTTGAGCATTCTAACACTCCTATGGTGTACATGCAACCCTAGAAACCTTGGATCTATGTTTTCTCTATTATACATGCAAATATTCATTTTCCAAGGTTCTCAACCTAACTAGCATGTTATGGGGTACTTGTAATATAAAAACTTAGTAGAATAGCATACCTTTTCTTGTGGTTGATTCATTGGAGTCTTGAGAGCCTAGCACCAATAATGTGGATTGTGGATGCCTCAAGTGGAATCACAAATCACCAAAACACCTTGGAAAGCTTGAGAGAATAGTATGCACCAAGTAGAAATCGGCCCACCCTTTGTACTCACACACTAGTGTCATTTCATGTGTCAAAGACCTCTTTATATAGTGTGGTGGATTAGGGTTACATCCATGTAAACCCTAATATCCATGACCTTTCATTTCCATAGGATCCATGGGTTAAAAACTCCATGGACTATCCATGCAAGCTTACCCCAACCTAAATGAACTTGGCCCATTCTCTCTCTCTCTCTCTCTCTCTCTATATATATATATATATATATATATATATATATATATATATATATATATATATATATATATATTATATATATATATATATATAAGAGTCCATATTTAACTAGTACCTTTTGATCACTAAATTAATTCTAAATTAATTCTTGATCAATACTAATTAAATAATATGATTTCATATTAATATATTATAACTAATAATATATTAATAAATCATAACTATACCATTCTCAAAAGATTATCCATATAAATTGTTTCGGTGAAGTGCAACCCAAATGGACCATGCCGGGTCGGGTCAAGTACATACCAAATATAGTTACGGACTTAGACACCTTATCCAACAGTCTCTCACTTGGATAAGTCTGGTAACTATAGTTGCAAGTATGACTTCAAGAACCAACCAGCAATCGTAGCTCCTAAAACTCTGTTGAACTATGAAGTGTCATTTTAGATAAGTGATCATATAATCCTCTGTTCTAGATATCAGTCGGACAAATACATGGAACAATGTCGTACTTATTGTCCATCAGTTTGTTTCCCGATTTTCGATTTGTTTGACATAGAACTAAACTGAACACATCAATTTAGTTCTGACCAGGCCTGGCACATAGGTCAAAACAAAATCATCGAGGGGCCTAGATATCGCTTTCAATCCTCCAAGGACTAAAAGGAACAGATAAACTTCGACTCATATGCTTGTTCTACTACTTGTTGAATCATACACAAAGGTACGTTTTATAACATCAAGTTACTGATGCGTTTTCGTACAATCAATGCATAACCAACTCATAGGCAACAACTCATATCTCTAGGTTTGAAGACTTATATGATATTACCGTCTCACGATCACTCGAGATAAATTCCATGAAGTGATACAAGTGAGCGTGGATTTAATCCAATACTCAGAACTTATGAGCACTCATGAATGTTGTAGCAACTCTTTGCTATGTGCAACACCTTAGACATCTACAAGCCTAATTCATGACAGTCTTGATTCATACCTACTTCCAACATATGAATGACTGTGGAGAGTTTGAATAAAGTAATTATTCTGGAAGTCAAAACATGCAAAATCGAAACAATAGTAAACGATTGACACAAGATAGCAACACCTTACTTATAAATAAAACAACAACTTTTATTTAATCATCAAATGTCAATTACATTTTACAAGTTTCATAAATAGCTATCTAATCTGTAAAACTAATATCGTCCTTCAGCCCGATGCGCCTCGCATGCTGCAAATGCCTAACCCTGGTCAGTCCCTTCGTGAGGGGATCTGATGGGTTCTCTTCCGACGATACCCTCTTTGCCACGAGGAGTCCTTCTTCTATCTTGTGTCTTATGAAGTGGTATTTTCTGTCAATGTGTCTGGATCTGCCATGATCTCTTGGTTCCTTGGATAAGGCAACTGCACTATTTGTTGTCACATAAAATCTCCATAGGCTCCTTTATAGCTGGTACAACTCCAAGGTCTCCGATGAAGTTCCTCAGCCATATCTCATCCTTCGCCGCTTCACTCGCTGTTATGTACTCTGATTCACATGTCGAATCATCTACTGTCTCCTGCTTGGAACTTTTCCAGATAATTGCTCCTCCATTCATGGTAAAGACCCAGCCCGACTGAGAGCGGAAATTATCCCTATCAGTCTGAAAGCTAGCGTCACTATACCCCACTACTCTCAAGTCATCACACCCACCAAGGATAATAATCCAATCCTTAGTCCTTCGCAGGTACTTGAGAATGTTCTTCACCGCAGTCCAGTGAGCCTTGCTAGGATTTCCCTGATATCTGTTGACCATGCTCAAAGCAAAGGCCACAT